AAGGAATTGAGGTCAAATATTCATTAGTTATATTCAATTGAGAATGACCTATTGTGAAGTCACATAAGTCTCAAGTTACACCTACATAACCATTGCAGTTTAATTACTTTATCAGGCTTCTTTGTCATATAAAGAAGACGTAATGGCGAAGACTATTTGCTTTTTGATGAGTCATTTATTTAAGGCTGTACAATCGCTGTTCATATTTCAAATAATCCAACAGAATATCGAAGATCACTTTCTTTTAGTGATCTAATGCTGATGCTACATAAAAGGTTTAAAAAAGGATATGAATCATCCTGAATGCACAAAATGGACAACCGAGGACAGAAGACAGTAAACTTTTAAATGAAATTCGTATGAGAAAGACGAAGTTATTAATAAACAGTGATAGTAGTGAAAAAAGAACTAAAAAAATGTGAACAAAACTATGGTAAGGATAATGCCCTGACCATGGTAAGGTGAATGATTTTATGTATTGTTTAAGGTCTATAGTAATCAGTGTTTTAGCTGTGTATGAATGGTATATTTAGAGTTGTCTGATGTGATACTAAGGGACCTTGTGGATTAATCTGAAGCATTCATACAATGGTAATTAGTACCCAAAGTCGATAAGGTGTGAAAGGACGGAAAGTTTGATATTCCTTGTCTCTTTTCTGGCTATTCAAGTTGGACAGTGTTCCAAAATAAGCTTATTGTGCACAGCCAATTTACTTTGCTCCACAGAAACCAACAAATTCTGAAATAAACATAGACATGATCATAAGTATTATTCTGTTCTTAACTCACGAATTATTATTATTTCCTTTAATTCCTAGAGGAACATAGGGCTTCGCCCGCGCGACTCCATTGAGTTCGGTTCTCCGCTAGAGTTTTCACCTGGCTCCAAGTCTGCACACATGTTTTCATCTCCTCTTCACATGACCTCCTCCAAGTCACCCATGGACTCGCGAATAGATTATCTGTTTGTCTTAGAATGTGATTCTGTAGGTAGCTGAATAAAATGTCTTTCTGAAACACTTGAAATGATGATTATTATAGATTTTGGTCTCAATGCCAAATTTGGAATTCAGGTTTATGATAAGTGTTTCTAAAGGACAGTTTGAACCCTCAGTGATAACTTACTTTTCCTCATATTGCAGTGAATAAATCTAGGGATTTTATTTTCCATATCCATTATATCTTCTGAATACACTTAGCGAATTCTTCAGTATAATTAACGCTCTAAGTCTTGTTTTCTGATGAATGGGACATACCTGTAGAAGTTTACAAACTGTTTAGCCAGATTTAGTTATCTGTTCTTCTAGTATTTAGCACCCACAGGAATTGAGATTGCTGGTTCAATTCACATTACAGAATGAATTTTATGAAAAGGTAAGCTGCATTGAAAGTGTTGAATAAGCTGTCCACATCATAAATGGTAAAAGTATCATCTGCATACCTTTTGTAAAGTTGTTGTTGCTTTTTTTCCCCACTAAATAAACATTATATACCTGTGACTTTAACTTTGTTGCAATATATTTCCTCAAAGTTATTTTAACATTTAGGGGTAATAAGCATGGCCTCTGTTCACTTTATTGAATCCTTCATGCATGAATTTATCTACGATTCTAACATAAAAATGCCCTAGAACACGCATAAGTCAGTGCTTTCCTGTTTAGTTTTTTCACAGTTATAAAACTGTCGAATTGTTTCCGGGTTACAAATCTACAAATATAAAGCAGAGTAATTTATCAGATGGATATTTCTAAGTCCTTACTCACAGTTTTCCTTTATTCATAAAATAGGAAGTGCAGCAATACAACATAGTAACAAAAACATTCGTTTTGGAGGCTACTTTCATAAGGGATATAACGAACATTGAATTTACGTCATTCAGTAAACAACGTCAAAATTCACTTTGATAAGAATGACAGTTTATTGTCTAGTTAATGGAATCCAGGATATGTCTTTCTTTCCACTAAGAAATCATCAGCTCAATGTACCTATATTCCCAGTGAGTGATAGTGTTCCTTTGCAACTCGAACTACACGTCATTATAAACGCTAAAGTACGGACGCTTCAGTAATGTCTGAAGGTTATCATGATGTTGTTTCGCTGATGGAGCCTAGTAACTGGATCCAGGACGTACGTCCTGCCCTATTTGGGATTGTCAGCTAGATGTACAGTATTACTGTGCACATATTTGAGTGAATTACTCTCCAATATATATATATATATATATATATATATATATATATATATATATATATATAAATTATTATTATTGCTGCCTTGGGTTCCTAGTGGAACATAGGGCTTCAACTGCACGTCTCAACTTGCTTCTGTCTTCTGCTGTAATTTTGTTGTTGATGCTGAGTGACGAGGATTTCCAGATTCATTTCAGGTTGATGAATGTTTCTCACCTTCCCGATTCTCGATTTGACATCCTCGTCCATTCCTACTGTAGTTTGAAACAATGCTCCCTAGATAAGTGAATGAAGTAACCTCTTTCAAATCCCTCCTGTTGATGGTGATTGACGCTGGACGTTGCTGCTGTTGTTGTTGGTTGGTTATTTTCATCACCTTCGTCTTGTCTATGTTCACTTGGAGTCCTGTCTTCGCCGGCTGCTTCTTCGACCAGTTTATCGGTTTTCGCTTGTAAGTCTTCGATTTTGTGTGACATCAAACATAAATCATCCACGCGCGAAATCCAGGTCTTCTAGGTTCTTCACGTCGGTCCAGGATATTCCTGTCTTCTTGTTTCCCATTCACTGTCTGACGCATAATCCAGTCAGTCCACCACAATTAGGAATATCATTGGTGGTAATAATCACCCTTGTCTGACTCCTGTGTTTACTCCAAACGCCTCGCCGAGTTTTCCGTTGTGGATCACTTGACATGTTCCGTTGTCGTACAGTTGTTGAATAAGGTTGATGAATATTTTGGGTACGCCTTAGTACTCGAGTAGTTTCCAAATTACTTCGCGGTCAACGCTGCCTGTCGAAGGCCTTCTCGAAGTCTATAAAGTTGAGGTAGAGGTTTGATTGCCATTCCATGCTTTGTTCGATGATATATATATATATATGTACCTAAACCTTTAGTGATAGAAGTAGGCAATTGTTTGTATTGATTAGTACGTTGATTTATTATTTTCTTTCTGTTTGTTTTTGTCGACAAACTCATAAATAACTCAAGCATAATTATTGGTTCCTGTATTCAGTCATTTGATTTATTTCAAGTTTATTTTTGAATTTTATTGACGCAATCTAATATACATTACGTTCATTCAGACTTGCTGTACGTACTGATTAGTTAATTATTACCCATTCATCATGTAATAATGTTGATTGGTTGCCAGGGTGTAACTACTGTCATGTGTCTAGTTCTTGTTTTGGCAGTGACTGAATTCTATCAGTCAAGTTTTCAATACGGTCACCAACCTAAGTGACCCGGTGCCTAAATAAGCTGATAAGATACTTCTTTTAGATTTTTCTTATACTTCAAAAAACAGTTGGCTTATGGCTGAACACATTTCTATGGTGACTTCAGGTAAACTAAACGAGTGTCGTTTCAAAAACCTTAGGCTAACTACAATATTCTATTGAGAAAGTGGCATAAGGAAATCCAAAACACCTACTCCCAGACTACTTACAATCAAAGTTATAAGTTGTTCTTATATGGATGGGTTTATTTTTTGGACTTTTACCTTCATTAGCCGAAAAAATATCTATGGTATCTCGTGTATCTTTCTCTGCAATGGGATTATTTCGTAAAGGTATGAAACGAAGGATTTAATTTAAGCGTAAAGAATTCTGGACTGTTAATCATTTCATAGAAGTATACTTTTATCATATCTGAGGCTTTGGTTTGCATGAGTAAACTTCATTTAACTATTAAATTATAAACTGTAGTAAATGTAGTTTTTGCTATATATTTGTTTTGAGGAAATTAAATACAACTTCCTGAGTCAGTGAAAAGCGTATAAAACAGTTCAGATGTTCATGTATTGAGATTCTAGTTTGTGACTCTTCGACAATTGACATCCATGATACCATCATAATGCTACTATTGTACAACTACGATGGAATCCAGTGTCCCGTGAGTCTTAACATCTGTTAAATAAGGGGCTATAATGCCACCTTCATCCAGTGTTGTCAGTGACTAATTGAACTCACATCAGACTTGGTGTACCCTCCTGTTCATGACTTCATTGAAGCTTTATCCTGTAGTCACAACCCACTACTAGAAGATTAATCTACTGCTCAGTACTGTGTGCTGCGTAAGAGTCACAAACTAGGCTGAAAAACCTACTCATTCCTGGTTTACAAGAATACTGTAACTTGAAGTCAGTTCAGGATGAAGTGTAACTTGAAATTAGTCAAATCTCTATAAACCAACACTTGAAAATTTGTGTTCTTTTGTAAGCGTTTAACAAATCTCTGTATGTACCTATAAAATATAAGTAGAAAGATCAAGCTTCACTTGTCTTTGATGAATAGTTACGTTCACGTAATATAACTATCGGGATAAAAGTGTTTAAATTTATTTAAGTAGGTCAGATTATAATAATAGTACTAGATATTTCCTGGAAACTATTTTCTCAGTGTGATTACTCGCAAAATATTAATTCCCATATAGAGTCTTCAGATAAATATTTATCGACGCTATATGGTATGACGCAACTCTGTTCCATCTGGAAAAAAAACTTAGCCCTCTACAACATTTCGTCTTCTTTTTCTTCTTGAAGTGAAAAACTATAAGTTCGAAGCCAAGTAAAACTTTTCCTGAGCTAATGTTGCTATCCAGACGCATAATTGGAAAATAAAGGCAACAACAACAACAACAAATGGAGACGATTAGAATAGATTAATTATGCTGGATGGAAATTTAGGCAGCCCAGTGGTTTATACGTGCGTCGGTGGCACAGCGGTTAGCATATATATATATATATATATATATATATATTAATAAAACAGTTAAGTCACTTTCTTATTTATCTTCCTTTTTTAATACTGCAGGCGACATGTTCGAATTAAGGGAACGCCTAATAGTACAGTAGATAAGTTTTATACTTGGGAAAGACGTGTTGAACAATTCTTGCATGAATGCGCATTAATTGGCCCTGGAAGATGCGTAACAGTGAAATATGAATCATTAGTGCTAACACCGTCCAAAGTTTTAAGCGAATTATTCCGTGAGTTATAATGGACGATTCAAAAATCAAATTTTCAAATTCTTAATGATATGATATAATGAGATTTTTACAATTACCAATTATAAATCGTAATATAATCTTACTTTTAGGTTGACGAAGTTAAAAAACATTTAAACTGATCATTCTTGACTTTACCCAATCTTAGTCTCAATGTGTTGATTAAATTTTGAACAGAGTAAAAGATTAGACACCTAACAGGCGCGGACGCAGAGTCAAATTTGGCTGCCTAACTGAATCCCAACTCCAGTCTCTCCCTAACTAACCCTAATATCTCCCTAATTTATCCTTAACACTAATCTTTCTCTAAATTAATGTAAAACTAACTAAATAGATATCCTACTTAATATTCATACACTTCTTTCAATACCCTTTTCACGAATACAGTGCGATTTTCCTGATTTCAATGTCTTGCCCTCTGATTAGGCTTTTCTCGTCCATTAGTGCGTTTAGGCCCACAGGTGTCTATTCCTCAACTTTGCCAAGTGTTGCTAAAAATCAGCTACCTTGATCAGATTTACTATGTACCAGGCCTGTAAGTTACACGTATTACGTGAAAGCTGTTTGAAATGTTGATTTACAGGGATTTGATTAGTTTCGAGTTAGGTCACAAGTTGATATCAGTTAAAGAACCATTAAAAATCAGGGAGTACTGAACACAGGTTTGCTCCTAGTTTGGGACTTTTTAGTAGTACGCGCCCATTACTTCACCGTGGATTGAACCTAATACCTTAAGGCTAATTCGTTGACCATTGAGCTACTAGGACAGAATTCAATGACCTATAAATTCTAATTTCTACCAATTTGAGTCTTATACAGCCACCGCCAGCCAGTGTCAGTGGCGACCAAAATGATAGACGACATTGGTCACTACTTCTCACTAGAACACCAAGCACCTTTGTCCTCTAGTGAGTCGCTAGTGAGAATCAGAATAATTTTCAAGTATTAGTTGGTAGGGATTGGATTGGTTTCTATTTAGACCACTGATTAATATCAATTAGAAAATTACTGAATACCGTGAATTACTGGACAGGTGTTTTGTTCTATAAATCGTGAATTGACTGGGTTCCGTTCCAGGGGTTTATTGATTAACAAACTTACCCACCGACCTGAAAGTCTTAGGTTCAATTCCTGGTGAGGTGCTAGGTGAATACTGTGAAACAATGACAGATAAACGTGAACGAAACAATTCTCCAATATCTTCTGGTCTTCACTGATTCTCTAACTCATCACAATTTGTGCTGATGTCAATCCTTGCCGCTAAGTCTGCAATGGCGGGGAGTATTGGTGTGTCTGTCGTGGGTGTGGGATGACACGGTGTTGCACCATCAGATACTATGTGACCTATGGTGTTATCTGATGAGACATCCATAATACTATCTGCCATGTCGCTTAGTGGGTCTAAGTCATAAGACTTTCCTGAGATGATTAAAATTTGTTGGACGTTTCTGGGTAAACGTTGCAACCACATCTGTGTCAACACGACCTCGTCAACTTTATGGTGTCCAGTTAACTGGCGCATGCGCGTGAGGAGCTGAGATGGTTTACACGTTCCTAGCTCACAGCCCGTGAGTAATTGTTGGATTCTTTTCTCATTTGACAAAGGAGGGCTTTAAGTTTGTCATATTGGTTTTCCGTCGGAGGGTTTTCGATTAAATGGTAGTATTCTTCTTTTTTCAGTAGGCATCTATTTTGATTGATTTATAACTTATTCGCGTTAATGTGCTGGTTTTTGAACCGCTATTTAATGATAGTAGAGTTTGTTAGAGATAGAAAAGTTTGTCACTTAGTAAATCTGTTTAAATTATTTATTTTTCTTATTTGATTTAAACAATCAATGTTCTCTTCACTTTAGTATACCTTTTTGATATTATGATGCCTCATAAAATACAGATGAAAGTTGTCATCAGCAAAACTTAATGTACTAAAGTAATACAGTTAAATGCATATACATATATATGTTAAAAATTGGAGTAACGCCTTACATTTTTTCGGGTTGATATTGCTGGAGTTAAAGCTCGGTATATATATATATATATATATATATATATCATCAGCTGATTGAATCAATACACAACAAGACTGACTTAAGCTAATGTTGAGTTTGACACGTATAAAAAACAAAACAGTTTTTTCTAAAGCTAAGTGAATACACTGACAGGTAAATCTTCTATATAGTGTGACATTCATCTGATAAGAGTACTGCAAAGTGAGCTTTATTCTACTTCTCCGAATAATAGAAAGTCTAAGAATCGAGAAATTACATGTATGGTCTAGTATTCATTTAGTCAATAGACTTTAGTGATATTCTAGGTTTGTTTGTTTTTTGAACGACTTAAGTTTGATTTGTATACTAAATTAACGGACATCAGTTACAAGACTGTCAAACAATAAGATGTATGTATGTTTGTGTGAATTAACTCTGCTAGTTTGTACGAAAATTTATAATTTTCTTTGAACTGTTATATAAGTCTGTTGAAGTCATATTGAACTTTTTTGCATTGATTCTGTTGGGCCGAAATGCTCGGTGTCTGGTGATATATCCGCTCCTACTATATATGAGCTTTAATACTACTTTGAAATGGTGTTTGATGAGACGGTGACGGCTAGTTTTGAGTTATAGTGGGAGCATAGCCAATAAATGAGGATACTGATATAGTCGACTGACGAGTCTCAAAAAGAGTGAAACACAAATCCTGGATTTCACTGCTGGTCACAACCAACCAAGTGAAATTATGGTTACTCTGTGGACTAATGTTCAGATTATGCTTATTGTGATGATAAGAAGTATTATATGCATGAAGCAAGCTATATTGTTTAATAAACTTGATCTATATCAAGGTGTATACTGAGAGTGCCTACCGATCTGAGTACTAAGAGTTTAGAAATTCACTGGCACTTTTTTAGTGTTTCCTCTGTTTAAAACATCTCTACTTTCCCAGTCAAACTGGTGTCTCTAATTATTGGCACATATTAATGTGAGAGAATGCAACTCACTGCTTTTGATAGGAAAATAGCAGCTCAGAGAATACAACCTGAAAGTGTACAGTTACTTGCACCATACCTCTTTATCTCTAGTTTTCTGCTTCTTATATCAGCTGAGGTGTAGGGTTTATGTTGACGGAATTCTCAGAAAGACTGAACACTTTTACACTGATACGAATTACTCTTCAAAAAATGTTGATTATACTTTTTCACCATTGAGTCTTTCATTCTTAGTTAACAGGTTCCTCTTAGTTATCAAGAGGTAACTCTTGATCTTTGAGATCTAAATCCTCTTCACACACTCCTGCAATTAGAAACTCCAGCAATAAATTACAAAGTCTCAATATCTCCAACTTCCCAAGCTAAATTCAAAGTACTCTGTCAAGGCCAGTCATACCGATTGGCAATCACATTGTGAATTCAGCAGGTATTAAGACTGAATAATAAACGCATGATGTAATCAGTCAATGCAGAATATTCTTTGCTCACACAGCTTTGTAACAGTGATAAGTTTTTTATAAGACACTCTTACTTAGTAATCTGTATTAGCATCTAACTGTTCAAAACCTAAATTTCATCAAATCAATATAATAAAAATAAACATTGTTAAATAAAATTCTGTAGTGATGACCAATGTCAATGGTGTAATTCTCCAAAGATTACAACGAAATAGTCTTTCCCTTATCACTAAATTTAAAAAGCATTACATTTTCAACTGAGAACTAGCTGAATCAATCGTATTTCTTTTGCATTGAGTTTCAAAAGAATAACATTTTGAAATTCACAGCAGATACTTCAGTAAAAACAAACTCATTTTGTTAAGAAATACTTTTACCATATCCTTAACTTTACAAACATAACTCTTATCGTATTTATGTTATTACAGAGATAGTGAATCTAAGGATGTGTATTAACTTTAACAAGTTCATCTAACTACTTTAGCATCATATGATTCATAAGTGAAATATCGTGAAATAACAAAACGTGGTGCCAATTATAGTGAAAATACTATTTAAGAAGCATCACGCACTTATCCTACTGCAAAACAAAGACCAATTATTTTTTATTGGACTGTAGTCACTAACTAGTGTAATATGTCTAATCCTAATTTTGGTGCAGACTGAATTTGATCTGTAAAGTTTGCTAGGTGGCTTGCCATCACTGTATACTGTGAACTGTTGGTTTCCAATGATTTGTTGAGGCAATCAGAATTCAGTCTGCATCAAAGATAAAACTAAACACATTACACTAGTTATTGACTAGTGTCCAATCAAATATATACGATACAGTCCTATAGGAGGTCATTCGCGAGCTTGAATAGCTCAGTGGTAACGTCTCTGACGGCAGCACTGGGGACGCGGATTCAAATCTCAGAGGAGGCATGAGTTCCCTCAAGATTGCAGATACGCCTTGCTGACAATTGCCAACTAGCACGAAACCTAGTTGGAAAGGTTCCTACCAATTGCCTACAAACATCTAATAAAGACTAATTAGTTGGTGTCAGTAAACTTACTAAAATTTTCGAGCTCTTTCAGCCACCACGTGAATAAAAACCCGACATTTTCACTCTTCTTGATTGAAGTAGCCAGTTAGTATCACAATGAAAAAAAATCAGTGGAAAGTATTCAATATCTAAAAGATAATAACTAGATTACGTATGTCGTCTTTTAGCTGTATACTGAATAGCCTTACACAGGCCACAGTTTTTGTCAGGAAATCAACTTCTCAGTAGCTACCACATCTGCTGATATGTGGTGAAAAAAATAATAAACTACATCCAAAACACTTATGAAGTAAAATCTGGTCATCTTGACGTTATGCATTGGGTGGTATTTATGTCTCATAACGGACAAACTTGAATATTTAAAAGAGAAAATCAGCAAATCAGTAGAAGGGGGTTTAATGAACAAAAGACTTCAGGTGAGCATAGAAAAGATGTAGATACCCAAGAAACAACAAACACCACTTACCATCAAAGCGAGAAAACCATAGGAACCAGTCTTTTTCACCTATTTCGGTAGCAAATATTCTTCAACAGGCTACATGAATAGGAATGTCAAAGCCCGTCAGGTCCAGAAAAGAAGGACAGGCGTCAATTCCTTTGAAATCGGTGCGGAGATCCGATGCACTTAGCTAGAGCAAAAATAACCAAATCTCTATCACTAGAAGGATTCCTGACAGGCTTATGCAGACTTTCATCAGCAATTACCCACTTCGCTCTACATTGGTAAGGTGGCAAAGAGAACCAAGCAAGTAACACTGTCAGACAGAAAACCAACCAAGAGCGTATTACTGACTGAATATGCAGAAGAAAATGGAAATTGACTGGACGTATTCTCAGAAGATCATTGATTGACATCGCATGCCAGTCTTTTGAGTGAAAATCGAATTGGAAGTGACGAATTGGAGATGAGTCGTAGAGCGACATGAAGGAGATGATGTAACGAGGAATGGAAGCATGTGCAAAATCGTAGAGCTGGTTAAATATGATGGAAAGAAAAGTGAGTGCAATGGAGAAATACTGCTGAGACTCTACGTCATACTTAAAACACAAGGAATAAATAATGATATTACTATTATTATTATTATTATTATTATTATTATAGCTTAAAGGAGAGTAATATATTCCAATAATGAAGCATCTAACTATAATAAAATTGTACATGTCTTGATTTTATCCCAGATTTTTAAAAAGCGAGGATATAAGTTGTAGCAAATCAAAACTGCTGCTCTTTTGTCTAGAATACGTAGAACACAGACAGTCAGTTGCGCCTCAAACTTCCTCAAGTAGTTGATTTTATGTTACTTGCGTGGAAGAATGTTGTAATCATATGAGATGTTACTTTTGACTGTTCTAAAGGTTTTCAAGTATTGGTTTTTGTAGGGATTTAGTTTGTTTGGTTGCAGAATTTCATCATGAGCTGACATCAATGTTATATCAACTTTTTTTTACACAAGTATTTACTATACTATTCTCGAAAATACCTCATGATAGCTTTAATCTTTACCCTAAACAAAAACAATAAATTAAAGTGTCTTCGGTGTGAACTGGTGGCACAACAGTAGAATGCTCATCAGCCATGTATGGGATTCTGGGTTCGATCGCCGGCCGACGCACTCCTTTTCCTCGCTAAACCAGTATTAAGACTGATAAATAGGGGAGGGTGACCATGAGGCTAGGAGCCTCATCCCGTAAAAGTAAACACCGCTGCTACCGAAATTTCAAAGCCCCAGCTTGAAGCCATTCGTTCCACTGAGAACGTAAAGGAATAAATAGAGGCTTTAGTAAGGTTATGAGCTAATGTTAGACAAAAGCAGGGAACATATAACGAAATCTATCATTACTCTTAGAGGCCGCCTAAAATACAATATTTATGCCTATTTTTCATATCGAAACCGATGAAATCCCTGCAAACGTAGACTTGAAAATACAGATAAATAAGGCTTAAATTGGTAGGTTGATCTGGAGAAAGATGGTTACATGAATCAATTTTCATATTTACTGATACTGGCTGGAGTTGGTAGAAATACTTTTGATGCCGTCATAGAAACCAGCTTAAATAACTGAGCTACTAGTAAATGCATTATTTTTCTCCATTTTTTTATTGTTTTTTAATCATCTATTAAGATTCTTGGATTGATACATGTAATCATGCAAGTTTTTTTTATTAGCTTTCAATCTACTGTTGTTGACTTCTTGAAGGAAATGACAAAATATACATGTACTATGATATTCTATCTTCCTTCATCTAAGCCAGTATTGTGTGTCATATGATATAATGTTGTTTACTACTTTACCTGAAAATTCTGCTAGTAGAGTAACTATAGTGCAGTAGAGAATTCTGTAAACCTGTTGAACAGTAAAATGATGTTACTGTTATATCTCCTCCCTTCTTTATTTCTTCCTTCTTCGTCTTATTAGATTCTCGTTTGTGTTATTAATCAGCAATAGCCACTGTGAAAACCTACTCCCAGGTTTTCCAGTAAATCTCTAACTGATGTCAGCTCATGATGAAATCCTCCATCCTATCCTATGAAATCAAAGTTATCTTAAAGCATCAAATATTTTCCTTCAGTTAGTTTTATGATTCACTGAACCTAAATGTTTGACCTCTGTTGACATGTCGCCATCCCTAATACGAAACGCTCTTGTCACCTAAGTGATCTAGTGGATAACGCCTTCCTGTTTAAGAACAATGGATGCTGGATTTCAGTCTCAGTGGGTACACCATCACCTACTACTGGAGATTGCAGGCAAATACAACTAATGAGTCACAAATAAGACGAAATGTGCATTCTGGATTCCAATGCTGTTTGCCACCCATTAAATAACAGCAAATATTTTACCTACTACTTATTGTTATTTTCTAAACCAGGAATTTTCAATTATATACTAGAGAAAAATGATAGTATGTAGGTAGGTAGATAGGTAGTATTACTGTAGTGAGAGGTAGCTGTTAGTCAAAATCGGTGAACAGTAGTTCACGTCAATATTTATGTCTCGAATATTAGTCATGTGAAAATGAGAACAAAGGCTTTGCGTAGGCGGAAAGAGGGCAAAGTACCCGAGGATTGGAAGAAAGGATACTTATTCAAACTACCAAAGAAAGGAGACTTAAGTCAATGTAAAAACTGGCGCGGAATTATGCTCCTGTCCATTCCAAGCAAAATACTAAGCCGCATCATCCTGGAGAGAATCAAACAAGCCATAGATGAAAAACTTCGTCCGGAACAAGCTGGATGCAGGAGAAACAAATCATGTATTGATCAAATCGCCACTTTACGGATCATCATTGAACAAAGCTTGGAATGGCCGTCAGTCACCTCTCTATCTCAACTTCATCGACTTTGAAAAGGCCTTCGACAACGTCGATCGAGAGGCTATTTGGCAACTACTTCGCTACTACTAAGGGGTCCCATCGACAATTATACATCTCATCCAACAGTTACACGACAATGCTGCATACCAAGTAATCCACAACGGGAAACTTACGGAAGCCTTCGAAGTGACGACGGGAGTGAGACAAAGCTGTCTACTATCACCAATGATCTTCCTGATTGTAGTTGATTGGATAATGCGACAGACAACGGTCAATGAGGAAACAGGCATAAAATGGACTCACACAAAAAGCTTGAAGGACCTGGACTTCGCCGATGACATATATCTGATTTCCCACAAACTGGAAGATATGCAAGTGAAAAGCAACAAGTTGGCGGAAGAAGCATCAAAGATAGGAAGGAGTTCAGGTGAACATAGATAAAACAGAGTTGATGAAGATTCCTAGCCAACACCAACAGCAACAACAACAACAGACAACAATCCGCCAGCATAAATGGGAGGAACCTGAAAGAAACAGCCTCCTTCACCTACCCACCCACCTGGGAAGCATCGTTTCAACTACAGGCGCACGGAACTGAGGGGGATATCAAAGCCAGAATTGGAAAAGCAAGACAGGCTTTCATTACCCTTAAGTCTGTGTGGAGGTCAACATCACTCGCCATCATAAAAATAAGATCCAGATCTTCAACTCCAATGTGAAATCAGTGCTACTCACCATACACATCAGAGACTTGGCCAGCGCGTCAAAAAGAGCATCTCAAACAAACTTCAGACCTTCATCAACAGTTGTCTTCGCTCAATACTACTCAAGATCAGATGGCCAGCCAGAAGGGGTCAGAAACAGCGATCTCTGGCAGTGAGCGAACCAATCAGGAACCGATTGTGAAACAAATAGGCTGGAAGAAATGGAGATGGATAGGATTAGGCATACACTGAGGAAACCATCAAGTGACATCACTAGACAAGCCATTGCTCGAGTGGAACCCGAAAGGGAAGCGGGTGGCGAGTTGGTCGTCAGTGACAGGGTAGGGTGACTTGGAGGAGGTCATGTAAGGAGGAGATGAAAGCGTGTGGGCAGACTTGGAGCGGAGTGAAAAAGTTGTCAGAAAACCGAAGGCGATGGAGACGCGCATCTGAAGCCCTATGTTTCTCAAGGAATTAAAGGATATAATATAAATAATAAATACAATTAACATATAGAGGATCTGTCATTGAAGAAACAACCACAAAGAGATGCAAGGTTAACTTTCTGTAAGAAACAGCCAATCAGAAGACTGTGTTTTTGTCTGCTAACAATGATCTGTAATGATGTACATGAAAATCTATAAATATGCGTTAATTTCCATAATGAGCGATCTGTTGCCTGTTCCTTATCTTCTGTTGTTACATTATTAGTACGCTTCCTCAAATGAATTCCAAAATTAACTGTGAATAATAATGCCTCCGTAAATTTCAGCCTTAAATATTAATCTCTAGGTATTTTTTAAACTTACCTTATTACAATACAAACATTTCACCTTGTCGTGAAATTAATTAAGCTTTGTTTTCTGACTGCTGTTCATGATTTACGGCTTGAAATCTGTGTTTCTTAGCAGCAAGTTTTTTCATTCCGTTTGTTTATTAAAGCAGGATACATTTTTCAGCATTTTTTCATGGTAGAATTTCTTTTGATTAAAAAGAAAGATATTTTTTATATGAAGTTTTGTTTATAAAGTCATATAGTTTTGAGTAGTATGTACTTATATGTCGACCTATAAATGCATATTGAAAAGCATTCTGTATAACTGGGGCGTTTTTATTTTTGTAATATCATAGTTTCTCTTTGTCTATTTAATTTCTGATCATATCATTTCTATATCTTCCATTATATTGTTTATTATTTATCTTAGAATTCCTCAAAGTTCCATGGGATCCTGTGGTACTTAATCATGATAAAGCTGTGCATTCTAATGCTCTTAGCAAGTAAGTAAACATTGGTTACACCTATAAATTGAAAATAGAGTGAATTGAACATCTTTTCTACACTGATTGCTTACAATAATAATGATATGATAATAATAATAGTAGTGATAATGTAGAATACTTGTAAAGTTTTTGATTCCGAATGTAACTTTCTAGTTAGATTACATGTGATTAGAACACGTGTGCACAGCGTTAATATTTAACACCTATTGAAGTCTTTATATATACGCTTTATTGACGTAGGCTTCATTTAGAACCTACTTGTGAATCTAGTTGGAAGGATGATAAAGTCGAGAGTTATAAGTTTTAGTATTGGCAGTGTTAGGAATATTAATCCAACTTTATCCTACAAATGTTTGAAAGAGAAGAAACCAGAATTCATTTATACCGATAGTTCATTGATTACAGTATATGTATATAGGTTTCCTTAATAGTTAATTGCTGAGTGCAGCTGGACCAGATGGAATACCCCCTGAAGCACAAAAAGGGGACCCAGAGACGACATCAAATATGCTGACTCCATTATTCCAAAAGGTCTGAAAGCAGGGAAAGGAGCTCACTGACTGGAGGAAAGGTTACCTCGTGAAACTACCAAAGTAGGGAGACTTAGAGCTGTGCAAGAACTAACGAGGAATCGTGAGTCACATCATCCTGGAGAGAATAAAGGACGCACTGGAGACAGAACTCCGACTAGAACGAGCTGGATTTAGGAAAGCCAAATCATGTTCTGACCAAATTTCAACTCCACGCATCATCATCACAGAACAAAGCATGGAATGGCAATCAAACCTCTACCTCAACTTTATAGACTTCGAGAAGGCCTTCGACAGGCAGCGTTGACCGCGAAGTAATTTGGAAACTACTCGAGTACTAAGGCGTACCCAAAATATTCATCAACCTTATTCAACAACTGTACGACAACGGAACATGTCAAGTGATCCACAACGGAAAACTCGGCGAGGCGTTTGGAGTAAACACAGGAGTCAGACAAGGGTGATTATTACCACCAATGATATTCCTAATTGTGGTGGACTGACTGGATTATGCGTCAGACAGTGAGTGGGAAACGAGAAGACAGGAATATCCTGGACCGACGCGAAGAACCTAGAAGACCTGGATTTCGCGCGTGGATGATTTATGTTTGATGCCACACAAAATCGAAGACTTACAAGCGAAAACCGATAAACTGGTCGAAGAAGCAGTCGGTGAAGACAGGACTCCAAGTGAACATAGACAAGACGAAGGTGATGAAAATAACCAACCAACAACAACAGCAGCAACATCCAGCGTCAATCACCATCAACAGGAGGGATTTGAAAGAGGTTACTTCATTCACTTATCTAGGGAGCATTGTTTCAAACTACAGTAGGAATGGACGAGGATGTCAAATCGAGAATCGGGAAGGTGAGAAACATTCATCAACCTGAAATGAATCTGGAAATCTTCGTCACTCAGCATCAACAGCAAAATTCCGTCGGACTTTCAATACAAACGTGAAGTCAGTTCTTCTATGCGGATCAGAAACTTGGCGGGCGGGTCACAAAGAATATTTCCAACAGCCTGTTGCACACCTTTATCAACCAACAACTGTCTTCGCTGGATCTATACTGAAGATCAATCGGATGGCCGGGCCGGAAAGAATCACCAACAACCAACCAAACTATGGGAACAAACAAAACAAGAACCAATCAATCGCCCAACAAATATGCAGGAGAAACTGGAGATGGATTGGACACTCGCTGAGGAGGCCGCTGGGTGACATCGCGCGCGCGTCAGGCCATTGCTCAAGTGGAACCAGGCCGAAAGGGAAGTGGCGATTGGGACATCTGTGCAAGGGTGACACTGAGGGGATCATGTAAAGAGGAGTTGAAACAGTGTGGAGTAAAATGCATGGATGCAGGTGAAAAGTACAGCAGAAGACAGAAGCAAGTGAAGACGTGCAGTTGAAGCCCTATGTTCCACTGGGAACCCAAGGGAGCAATAATAATAATAATATAATAGTTAATTGCTGAAGTCTTTAATTTATATGTCTAGCGATAAGAGTTCGAATCCCCAGGGGTCCAGAGGCTATTTCAACAGTTGAAAATATCTTCTGATAATGAATGTCAAAATCTTGCATATTAGATGAAGCAGCTAATTCGTATCAAATTTTAACAAATACTTTCCATTAAACGAATTCCAGTAGTATAAATTAACTTAAAAAGCTAGTTCGCACACTTGATCAATAGGTTACGAATAAATGACTGCGGCGATATCAGTGAGATCAAGTGTTTGTACTTCATTTATTACTATTATTAAGTTAGGTCACTCGGAATAGGTAGACAGGCTAAGAGGGCACTTGTTGCGTGAGGGCTGATGATACTACTCATCTGTTCCCGCTGAAGTGGGTGGAGCAGAACTCGAATCCATGATCCAGTGACTGAAATTTAACTTCCTGTCATATAAATTATTTTTGATAAAGTGTTCTGAGATGTAATCAGCTTCCAGGATTTTATTTGTGTGAATTGTAACTTTTAACAGGAACAAATTTCACAGAGTTAATTAAGTACAAGGAAGTGTGTTACAGGAGAATGAAATACTTTCATTTTTCAGTTATACTTTTAAAATCATTAGACTTTTGTTATTCCTTTGCATTTAGAGTAGAATATAGAGCTTCAAGCTTGGCGCTTAAAGTTGCAATAGCAATGTTTTTGTTTTCACGGAGTGGGGTCGCTACTCTCGGGCACAACCTCCCGAGTCTAATGGGGTTCGTACCAGCTAGATGGTTTAAGAGTTTGTTGGCCAGGAGTCGAACGCCGTATCACATTGGCAACCATTCTATGTCTGAGCCACCAACACAAAATTTTACTAGATAGTTTTCATTAGTTACAGGATTTCATCATGAGCTGACATTGGTTAGAGAACCATTAGAAAACCTGGGAGTAATGGACAGCTGTTTCGTCCTAGTTTTGGACTCTTCAGCAGTACGCACCCACCGAGGTTCGAACCCAGGACCTTCTGGTTACAAAGAGAGCTCGTATACCATTAAGCCACTGGTATCCGATCATTATTTGTATTTAATCAGTAGCTCTGTGAAAAAAACAAGCATAAAATATGATGTGCTTGTACAATACATTTCGAACAATGTGACCACACAAGCATAGTGTAAGCTGATATCCTTCTTACTTATAAAACGCCTATTATGTCGCTTATTTTAAGTGACCTCTATTTTTTATAAAACAATTGAATCGGCAAGTAGTTGTTTGAAATCTATTAAGCATATCATATACATATCACATTTTGTTTTCAGATAAAGTCTGTCTTTTAATAGCGTCACCCAAATGTAACCATGGAGACTAATTATTTTTAGAGTAAAGAAGACCAAATCTGCAGTATAAAAGAATATCTCCATTTTTTAGTTCATAAGATTGAAATCATCTCAGTGATCTGAAATCACTTGTATGAATGATTATGTAACTGGGTAACCAAAATAAAAATGCAGTCATTCACTACACTCCCATTCTGTATGCTTTGGTTATATTGAAGACGTTTGATTTCATTAGCTTCTACAAATAGCAGTAAACGGGGAGTAGTCTGCACATCTAATATTTTGTAGGATATATAAATTTCAATGAAACTCCTCGTATCCCTAAGGTGTTTGGTAATTGTCTTCTATAAATAAGTGTCAAATTAGGTACACACTTTTGGAACATTCTTATAGAACGGGACCGAAGCCCTTCTTGTTCTTCTTCCAATGTACTTGACGTGGTAAACATAGGTGAATTTACCAACACAGATAGAGAGAAGAGTGGTGGGAAATGAAAGTTTAAGTGAAAATCCCAGGCATATGAAAGACAAATTTCCCAATTGTCAAAATAAGAAGTACGCGTGAATTTATTCATTTGGAAATTGAAGCAAACTATACAGTTACATAAATACAAATACCAAACTAAAAGTAATCTAAACTGCTGAAATATATCCAAGAATCATCGATATTTAAAGGTTTAAGCATCTCAGTATTAACCGCATGATCGGTCTAGGATCGGTAAATTTTATCAGTGAGTTCACTTGCTACAAAAATAATAAATATAAAATTATATTTCACCAGTGAACATAAAATTTACTGAAACAATTCTAGATACTCCATAAGTATTACACTAAGGAATATCAGGAACATGACCTGATCCGCTACTTCTAAATATAAATGAATAATTTTTAAATGTATGTTTTTGGAGATTTGATTGATTTCAAGCTGGATCACGAAATGACACCACTCAGATGACCACTTAAATACCAGGAAGTACTGTTGGCTGTTTTACCCTTGTATGGAACTCTTCGGCAGTACTCACTCACTGTCCCTAGTGGATCAATCCAGGACATTCAGGTTAGGAGGCGAGTTTGCTGACTGTTCAGCCACTGGTATACCATTTCAATACCCATGGATTCTAACTTTTGCCTTTTCGAGTTATATAGAGCCACCGGTAGCTAGTACCTTTGACCAGTACTATTCATCATTGGAACATTTCAATCTGGACCAGTGACCGAATGATCAAAGGGATCGCCTGTTAACAGAAAGGTCCTAGAGAGTCTCAACTAAGGAAGAAATGAATATCCATAATTCCCTCGCTGTTATCAATCCATAATCTAACGTAAAAAGTGATTTAACTTCCATTGAACCATTACATTCAAGTTCATTAACTTTCTCATTCTTGCTTTTTTTGTGTATTTTGTAAACACGTCTAGATTGGAACCAAGTACCTCACAAGTTGTACATCCAATTCACTTAGCTTCGTTATCTTCTTGGGCTTCAAATGAATCAGCATTACCTGATGATTTCATCAGGCTAAGCACAGTTTAGGAATGCATTGAAATGGGAGTCGAATTCGAATCTCCCGCGTGACTGGCAAGTATTCTGCTACTGAATCATGTATACACATATATATGTATATAACAGACGAGTAAATAAAAGTGATATCTCGTTTTACGTCAGTATGAATACATGCTAATGCTCATTTCAGATAATAAAACACCCTACTACTACAGAAAGAATAAACATACAGGTGTTTACAATTTGCTCAATAGTTGTTGCATTTAAAACTGATGGTAACACTTTCTTAGGTAGTAAGGGTGTCAGACTGCTATGGACTGAATGTATATTGAAAATCTAATTGATGGCAGGATTTGAACATGCTGCGCTCCTCTCCTTCTACTTCAGCATGATTAGGATTGACAAGAGAAGATTTAATCAGACGACTAGTAATGGTGATAGATGGACTGTAATGCGTTCACGACATCTGAACTATCAGTCGTGATAACTGTACTATTCATCATTGGAACATTTCAATCTGGACCAGTGACCGAATGATCAAAGGGATCGCCTGTTAACAGAAAGGTCCTAGAGAGTCTCAACTAAGGAAGAAATGAATATCCATAATTCCCTCGCTGTTATCAATCCATAATCTAACGTAAAAAGTGATTTAACTTCCATTGAACCATTACATTCAAGTTCATTAACTTTCTCATTCTTGCTTTTTTTGTGTATTTTGTAAACACGTCTAGATTGGAACCAAGTACCTCACAAGTTGTACATCCAATTCACTTAGCTTCGTTATCTTCTTGGGCTTCAAATGAATCAGCATTACCTGATGATTTCATCAATTCAATACATGAAAATAGCAAGATTCTACAAAAGCTGGGTTATGCGAATCTTGGTATCCCACCAAATTATGGCACTCCAGAGATTAAAGTAGCTAATATTACTTCCCAACTACATAAAGATCCAGAATTTCGACGGATTTTCGGTAATAAATAACAAATAATAATTAGTCTTATCGTGATGATTTTTCACCTCATCTATCTGGATGAAAGCGCTCTGGACACACTCTGAGCTTTCTTCAAACAAAGACATATACTATTTTCTTGCCAGGAATATTATTTTTTTTATTGTTCTGTGATTGTTTTTTTTACACGGATTTTGTACTTTTCCAGACGGTTTGTGGTAATTCTTTATTTTGTTGTTGCAGAAGAAGAAGAAGAAGTCTTTCTTATGCCTTTATAAATCTTCTGTTTTTAGCATCTGATGTTCAGTGAGATAATACAAAGTGAATCATTTAAGAGATATTCAATTATTTTGTAATTTCTATTGAACAATTTATTATTTCCTTACAATACTATTAAGGTGTAATGTACATGGACTGTTTTTCTTTTTTTTTTCATTCCTTTATTCTCCAAGTGGAACACATAGCTTCGACCTTTTGAAGTTTCAGTATCCGTGGTGTTATTCTTACGCGTTTAGGTTGCTAGTCTCACACCCAGCTATCCCACTTTTACAGGCTTACTACTGGCTAATAGGCTAAGCACAGTTTAGGAATGCATTGAAATGGGAGTCGAATTCGAATCTCCCGCGTGACTGGCAAGTATTCTGCTACTGAATCATGTATACACATATATATGTATATAACAGACGAGTAAATAAAAGTGATATCTCGTTTTACGTCAGTATGAATACATGCTAATGCTCATTTCAGATAATAAAACACCCTACTACTACAGAAAGAATAAACATACAGGTGTTTACAATTTGCTCAATAGTTGTTGCATTTAAAACTGATGGTAACACTTTCTTAGGTAGTAAGGGTGTCAGACTGCTATGGACTGAATGTATATTGAAAATCTAATTGATGGCAGGATTTGAACATGCTGCGCTCCTCTCCTTCTACTTCAGCATGATTAGGATTGACAAGAGAAGATTTAATCAGACGACTAGTAATGGTGATAGATGGACTGTAATGCGTTCACGACATCTGAACTATCAGTCGTGATAACTGCAGCTGTGTGAAGGCCTGTTTCACTGTTAGGTTTCCTAGGTTAGCTATGACAGTGCCAAAGAGAATCAAATTAGTAGTTTAGAGGCCTTTGGTACTTAAAAGTCGCACATGAAATGAAAAAACATTTCCATGCTCATTAGAATAATAATTCAGAGAGATGGAGAGAGAGAGAGAATTGTATCCATCTCACTGGCTACGATGTCTGAAATATACATCTTCTGTTACAAAGACTATTTTATCTTCCATTTCAAACGGTGACCAATACTCTTACTTTTCATTCGTGTCTATATCTCTAGCTTTTACGCTGTATGAATATGTATTTGCCACAATTCCTCAGTGATTACTTTTATTCCTAATAGTTTAGTTAATTACTTTTGTGAACAAGATAATATTGAAGAATTCTAGTCAGCATATATAACTTCTATTAAGAGTTTTAGTGGCAAGTGATCACTGATATATGTATTAATGACACTTAGTAGTTAACTTTTGACTCTGCAGTCAGAAAACATTAACTTATGAGGAATGTTGTAAGTGAAAAGAAAGAGAATCCAATATATCAGTGGACAAGAATACTGAATTAGATCCATACAATTTTAACACCAGAATATTATTCGAGTATTCATCAATACTTTGCTTCAGTACGGATGTTCTGAATTTCAAATAAGGAGTGGCCGATGAGGTCCACTAAGTCACATGACGGGAAAGATACTTGTTCATGCCATTGAATAGAATTGATGGTAAATCGCGAAATAACAAAAGTTGGAATTAACGGCCCACTAGATTCCAAATGGCTGACTGAATTATAACGTGATTATCAATTGATCTGAAATTGCTGGATTCTTTACGTGATTTTGCTGTGGTTAGTTACAGTTACACAGTTTGAAGCTTAGACAAAATATTTGTTCACCACTCTAAGGTATTCTAAATTTCGTTAACTAAAATCAGTTTATGATAGAATTAATAATACATTTAATCAAGCCTATACAAATAAAAATTAAGTATAATAAATTTCTGAAGCAATAAGCGCCATTCACCATCAACGGGAGGGATTTGAAAGAGGTTACTTCATTCACTTATCTAGGGAGCATTGTTTCAAACTACAGTAGGAACGGACGAGGATGTCAAATCGAGCGAGAATCTGGAAGGTGAGAAACACATTCATCAACCTGAAATAAATCTGGAAATCTTCGTCACTCAGCATCAACAACAAAATTCCGTCGGACTTTCAATACAAACGTGAAGTCAGTTCTTCTATACGGATCAGAAACTTGGCGGGCGGGTCACAAAGAATATTTCCAACAGCCTGTTGCACACCTTTATCAACCAACAACTGTCTTCGCTGGATCTATACTGAAGATCAATCGGATGGCCGGGCCGGAAAGAATCACCAACAACCAACCAAACTATGGGAACAAACAAAACAAGAACCAATCAATCGCCCAACAAATATGCAGGAGAAACTGGAGATGGATTGGACACTCGCTGAGGAGGCCGCTGGGTGACATCGCGCGCGCGTCAGGCCATTGCTCAAGTGGAACCAGGCCGAAAGGGAAGCGGCGATTGGGACGTCAGTGCAAGGGTGACACTGAGGGGATCATGTGAAGAGGAGTTGAAACAGTGTGGAGTAAAATGCATGGATGCAGGTGAAAAGTACAGCAGAAGACAGAAGCAAGTGGAGACGTGCAGTTGAAGCCCTATGTTCCACTGGGAACCCAAGGGAACAATATTATTAATAATAATAATGAATTTAGACAAAACAATAAGAAGACGTAAATTTGTCTGAATCATTTGTGTATTTGCGCAACTTAGTTCGAACAATCTGATTGCACACGAACTTGTCAAATGAATATATATGAAATTAGTGAAGAGCTGAGAGGTGAGAAAATAGATTTAGTTCAATTTAAAAGGACATATTGAAGGTCAAAATCACGATGAAGGTCTTCAAATTAAAGAGGGGAGTCAATAGTACGTCTACCCTGGCTAGCATCAAAATAAAGCTTACCAAGGAAGGTAGGTTTAGTGTAAACACATAAAGTTGGTTTAAACTTCTTAATTGCTAGGAGTTCCACAAACTTTAGAATGCTTTCCAAACACGTTCTATAGATAGATTTAAAAGATGTGTAAACATCAGCTTCATGTCCCGTCTCTATAATATTTTTTAAATAGAGGAACTGGGTCGTCTGTTCTCATCATTAATGTGTTCTGGGGATTTTATTTGCTTCTGAGGCCATTTAGGAATATGCTCTGAAGCCAACCCTTACTTGTAGAGATCGAGGAGTCCTCCTTATGTATGTATCTCCACACATACATATAAATTGGTAAATTATGTCTTCTTATCTGTTTGTATAATAAATTTTACTGAGAAGACGAAACAGTTTCTTGGCGGATTGCTAGGTTAAAATCTATTAGAACTACTAGAGAGATTTTTCGATACACGCGAGGACTAAGGTTACTTTACCGGGTACTTTTTTGACTTTAGCTAATTGTAGGAGAAAACGAGTTCTAATTCCACTCAAATAGTTCTATACAATAGTCTTGCTAGAATAGAATATGAGAAGAGTTTTCAGCTATCAAGGAATAAACTATTCCTAACGCCGTGCTATCTGTCAGTGTCACCAAGCGTGTCTTTACCCTGTGATTCCAACTAATTTAGTGTTGGTTTTTCCACGAAGAAACGATAGAAAGGTTCTTCTAGAGTACAGTACAGAAAAATGTCATCCAATTTCACTCTCTTATATATCTAAAATGATTTTGGTATAAGCAAATGATTTCGGTTTTGGCTAGGGATTGACATCAGTTACAGTGCCATTAAATATAACACAGTACTCGGCAAATGTTTCATCCTAGTTCAAGATTTTTCATAGTACTCACCCATGAAATTTAAAGCCAGGGGTCGAACCCATAATCTTTAGGTTACCAGGTGAGGCCGTTGAGCATTCAACCACTGGGATAGTACTCTATGATTATCAATGGTTCTCCAACTGATATCAGTCCGTGGTCAGACTTGAAACCAATCGAGTCTCCCCCCTCATACATTAACACCTGAAAATAAGCAGGTGAGTCACATGTTTAAAGAAATGATCACTGAAGGCAATAAAATGAGTGGCATTCACATAAACGTTTATCAGATAGATAGATAAGCAATATTTCTATTCAAGAAAACAGCAGTAGACTAATAACACTTTGCCATACCTGAAATGAAATTCCGTCTCATTTGCAAATATCGACTGGATTTTGAGTAATAGACAAATAGAGATTCTCAAAGAAACTTAGTTTATTGAGCATTTCCTGTTGCCGCCTGTCTCAACTGATGGGCTATTTAAACTTTCTGCCTATCTGAAATGCGCGTATATACTCCATTTAATATTTTTTTATTCATTGAATTCGACCTACGAAATGCAATTTTTACTTACACCCTGTTTCAATTAATTTTCCACATACTGCTATGAATTTTCTAAAAGAAAGGGAGGAAGAACAATGTGAGGTATTGTAACACGCTTCGGATGGGTCACTGTCGCTTCAAATGACTGTGAGCAAATAATCAAGCCATTATTTATGAATGAGGTGTAATAATAATAATAATAATTTGCTTTATTCCAAAACAGTACTTGTGATACAGAATGGAATTCTCAGCATTTTACTACAGTATTGCATTCAGTTAGTACATTAACAATAAATAAAGTTCTACATGGATTAAGGGTAATCTCAGTTAGTTTTGACAACAACATATTGGCATGGCAAAGCCAATATAGAACAGAGTGTTTGAAGGTGTTAGAAAAGTAGATGCTAGCATATTTACTGGTGCAAGTGTTAACAAAAAGGTCGAGATATACAGAGTGTGAAAGAACGAACAAGAATGTTTTAAACAGAGTTTGTCAGGAAGAAAGAAACAAAGCAGCACATAACAGAAAATAAAGAAAGAAAACGTTGTACCTATAAATGATATGAATTGGAAAGACGAGATCCAGTTGTCCTACTGACTATT